AGTGCCGACAAAGTGCCCGGAACATTAGACATTTTGTCTCATTGAATTTTCCCAAAAACAATAAAAATATTTCTGGATTGCCTACTACATGGAAGAGAGTATGGTGTCACATGGAAGAGAATGCATTCTAAAGCCAGACCTCCTCAGTTTGGCTCCAGGCTTGGCCACCTACTAACTGTGTGATTCTGGGCAAGTTACTTAACATCTCTACGCCTCAGTTTCCTCCACGGTAAAATGGGAATAATAGTATCTATCTCCTGGGATTTTAGTGAAGATTAACATATGTAAAGTACTTGAAACAGTGCCAGGCTCCACGTGTTTGCTGTTATTATTACTATACGCAAGGGGTACACTTTGTGAAGCTGTAGTATTGTTTCCATTTTACAAATAAGGACAGGAGACTTAGTGGAGTTACACAACGTGCCACAGGTCACACAGCTTGTACAGGGCAGAGGCAGATTTGAAGGCAGCTATATGCGCCTCCTAAGCGCTTTCCCTCCTACACCAAAGCCAGAACTCACTTCTACTACTGAGTTTCTGTCGCTCAGAAAGATTGCACACAGGCACACAGTAAGGGCTATATAGGTTTTTTACCAACAAATGTTTTTGAAAATATTTGTCCTTCTAACTAATAAACCACGTGAAATGCAGGATGATTCAGGAAGGCGGCTGGCGTGACCGGGAAGCGTGGGTCAAGCCTTCCTTGGGTTCAGGCAGGAGCCTGGAGGTGAGGAAAGGTTCCCAGGAGAACAAAGGATTAATCACAGGAAACCAGGATGGGAGGCGGGGTGGAGGGCAAAGAAAGTGAATTTCAACAGAAGCAAGGAGCTGGTTATCCAGGACTAAGAAGAGAAGGGAAGTGGTAAGGGCTGGGATTTCTGGAGACTGCATATTTGGAGGGTGGAGCACAGATGGGAGCCTGGTGAGAGCAGGCCAAAGGGATGGGTGCAAAACCTCGAGGCTGGGCCACAGGGGTGCTCGCAGAAGGGCAAGTAGGGGGCCTCAGACCCTTTGGAGTCTCAACTTCCTTTCACACTTTTCCTTTCAGCTGCAAAGTAAACTGAGGGCCTCAGAAGGATTAAACAAAACTGGGAGCAGAGTGCTGGTGTCTGGGGTCCCATTCCTGGGGAGGCAGCACCAAGCGGTGGAGCACGTGAGCAGCGCAGCAGAGTCCAGGGGCTCACAGAGCCTCCCATATTGCCCTTTCTTCTCTTCTTTCATGCGGGAGAGAACCAGTGAGGTAGCGAACAAGACAATTGTCCAATAAATTCGATTTTTAGGCTACATTTATCTATACACTTGTTGGGGGCGGGCTGAATTTTCTGGAAAATAATTTCAACTCTCCAGTTATTTTTGCTGGCTTGTTTTGCCCTAAAAATCAATGGGAAAGCCTTGGCTTCAAATTCTGAGGTCCTTTTTCCCAAATGAGTTAGGTTTTCTTGGCCCCTCTCAAACTTGGGTACCAGACTCTGAGGAAATAGGGGGTGGGGGCAATAAAAACTGGCCTGCACAAGTGCTCACTGAAGGAAAGGTTAATGTACAAAAATTCAAAGTAAATTATGAGAGGAGCATTTTCATTACATACATCGTTTGCCTTAGTGTTTAAACTCATGGTGCAATGTTTTTATTTTTTACTTTTTTGGTGAGGAAGATTGTCGCTAACATCTGTGCCAATCTTCCTCTATCTTGTAGGCAGGACGCTGCCACAGCGTTGCTTGATGAGCGGTGTGTAGGTCGACGCCTGGATAGAGACTGTCAAACCGGGCCAACGAAACAGAGCAGTGGAACTTAGCCACTACGCCCCCTGGCCGCCCCTCACTGTTATTTTTAACAGCAAATTAATTATAAAAATGACTATAACAAATTAAATCCCACACAAATTGATTATAAACACATCCTTGGAGTTGAGGTTCCCCCCTCCCTCCCCCCTTTTTAACGGAATACAGTGGCTTAAAAATTCTTATCAGTAAGCCAAATTCATCCCTTGGCATGCTTGTGGAACCACCGAAGAAGACTCAGCCACTTACCAAGGACAAGGTAACCCGTGTTCTCCAGGGCGCAAACGGTGTCTCCGGAAGGGGTAGAGGGGAGAGGGCAGGCGAGGACCTCCAGTATCAGCGAGGGCTATCAGGACGTCCCGCTAATAAACGACTTTTTCACTGTCCACACTATAATTGGTTTACAGCCTTTTTTGTTTATTTATCCATAAGAGCTGCTGTTAAATGGCTCGGCAAGGCGCTCGCCTAATGGCTTGGTATCGCTGCGAGGCCTGTGGGAGGCGAGGGGGGCGCGGGCGTCAGCGGGGAGGCAGAGCGGAAACGCATTTCACCTGTAATGGACTCGGCGCTTTTATGGCACCAGGAGCCGTGTCCACACAAGAAACACAACACGCGGTCTCGCTCAGCGGAGGGCTCCGCGGGGCGCGTTTTTTTATATGGATATACGTTATAATTAGCCAACCCAAAAATCCTGTTAGCTCCGTCCTACCCAAGACGAAGAATAAATGGCTGTTTGACCTCTGTTTCCTGGGTCACGTCTTTAGGTCGCAGGCAGCCCCAAATGCGAACTGTGAAAGTGAGAAGGCGCCTCCGCCGAGCGCCTTCACCGCCCCCCCCGCACAGCCCCCACGTTTCGTTCAGCTCGGGGTTCCGGGTTTTATACCCTCGAGCGCGGCGGGCGGATTTGCTTTCTGCTGAACGTCTCTTTTCTTTCTGCAGGGCCGAGCAAAAATATTAAATGGGAGCAAATGAAGCATCGAAACGGAGACCAATTTACAGAAATGTGCAATTAGACGAGAAGTGCAAAGTAAACACTCCGGATCGGGGGTGGCGGGCGAGGCAGGGAGCGGGGGCGAGGGGGGCTGCGAGCCGAGTCCGGAGGGGGGCTGCCGAAGGGGGGGAGTGGGAAGAAAAGAGAGGGGGAGGGGAAAGGTGGCCGATCTTTGTCCCAGGCGGAGCTCGCGGCCCGCTCATAACCGCGTCGCCAAGTCAACCCGCGGCGACTGGGCAGTTTATCTCCAAGGGTCAACACGCCGCGGCCGGGCAACCCCCTCCGGCCCTGCCCTCCTGATCGATGTGGTCACTCGCGGCCCGGGTGATAGCGTCGGGTCCTCCGCAGCCGCGGCGAACAATGGACTCATTGACGCCGGCGCGCAGAGATTAGGTGCGCAGGTCCCACGGCCTTTCACTTCCTGGCCCCCTAGGACCGCAGGTGGCCCTTTTCCCTGAAGAAATCGCCGAAACTCCCCCCACCGGCCCGGCTTGCCTCAGCCTGCCCTCAGGCGAGAGCTGGGACATCAGCAAGCCCGGGAGCTGCAGGCGTTCCGGCTCCCGCCGACCACCCGCTGCCCAGCGCCCAGCCACGCGCGAATGTGGAGATGGCGCCAGCATCTCACAAGAGAAGGAATCTGCAGAGAAGTCCAGATTCCTAGTTGGCTTTTTGCTTTTAAATGCAAATGAGTATTTCAGCGTAGCACACTCAATCAGTACGCATTTTAAACACAAACATTTCCCCTAAGAGAAAATACATTAAAAACTACCTCGGAAAGCACTGGATGCAGTTTGTAGTTTAGCAGAATCGGATTGCAGAGAATTTCTCTTGCTGGTTCCATGTGGTTCACGCTCCCTCTTGCCGAGGCTTTTCTGCAAAGATGTCCAGTTTTACTAAATCTCTCCGTGGTACTTCGAGGAATGTGGTCATTTCGGCAGGGCCCGGTCTGAGGCCTCCCGGGACGCCCCGAGCACCCGGGCCTGCGGCGTTCTTCATGCCCAGGCCGGGGGTTGGGTGGCACCATGACCCGGAGATAGTCGGTCCGCACCATTCGGTCCCAAAAAGCGTCTCTCAGGACCCTAGAGTATCCAGAAGTTACTGAGCCAGTGGGGGCCGAAGACTGACGTCGTCATAAAAAGGCAGTGCTTTTCTTTCTTTTCTAGACACTCCTCTCCTGTCTCGGGCCTGCATTATTTCAACCGTGCTCGGAGTAAACGGTCTCCGGCTGACGGACTCCGGCCGGGTCTCGGGATCCGTGCAGGGCAGAGCCATGAAGGATCTGAAAACCCCGTGCCAGCCTCCTGCCCCCGCCTCCCAGCCGCAAGAGAGGACGCTACTCCTTTCCCCCTTGCCACATTAGGACACTGCATTCTGAGCTGGCCAAAGGAGCCCCAATTTCCAAAAATCAAAATTAATATTGCCCTTCAATTTAAAAAAGTTAAAAAGCCACTGTGCGTATTTCTGAAGTTACAGTTTACACTCCAGAAGTCCCCAGAGCACAGACGCCGATAAAAACAGACGACGAATGCCGGATCTGAATGTGCTAGCTCACCGACATCGTTGGTGGATGTGTACAGATGTCATAAATAAGATAGAACCAACCGCGCCGACCTGCAGAGCTGGAGTCCGCAAACTTTTGGACCCTGCTCCCTAACATTTAAAAAAAGTTTGTGTACCACTAGAAGGACCCGCAACTAAAAATACGCAACTATGTACTGGGGAGCTTTGGGAGAAAAAGAAAAAATAAAATCTTAAAAAAAAAGTTTGTGTACCACCTCAATATATGCACATTTATCAAGTATATTAATGAACTAATATATTATGTACATATCAAACATACAAGGGAAATAGATCGTTCAAAGTATGATGAAAATAAGTTTTTGTAAATGGAGAGAAGTTCTAATGTTTTCATGCGTGCCCCGCTTTGGAGAGCACTGCCAGCTGCGCGTACATGTGTGTGCAGAAACTCAGCGAGGAGAGAAAATTGAAACAAATGCAGGTGCTCTTGAGTACCTGGGCCTTGCTTCTTAAGGCAGCCAGCCAGGCCAATAACGGCCCCAGCCTGAGCCACGTGGGGCGCCGTGGAGCCTATGGCGCGGCGGCCGGCCCGCCAGTCCCCGCCGGCGGCGGGTTCCCTCTGCGAGCAGAGGGGAGCTGTCAAAGCGAGCAGGGGTGGCGCCCGGAGTGGCAGAGCCGCACAGCTCCGCGTCTCCGGCCCCAGCTCCCTGCTCCCGGTACCCAAGCCCGGGCGGCAGCCATGAACGGCGAGGAGCAGTACTACGCGGCCACACAGCTTTACAAGGACCCGTGCGCGTTCCAGCGGGGCCCCGCTCCAGAGTTCAGCGCCAGCCCCCCTGCGTGCCTGTATATGGGCCGCCAGCCCCCACCTCCGCCGCCCCCGTTCCCGGGCGCCCTGGGCGCGCTGGAGCAGGGCAGCCCCCCGGACATCTCCCCGTACGAGGTGCCCCCCCTCGCCGACGACCCTGTGGTGGCGCACCTCCACCACCACCTCCCTGCTCAGCTCGCGCTCCCCCACCCGCCGGCCGGGCCCTTCCCGGATGGAGCCGAGCCAGGCGCCCTGGAGGAGCCCAGCCGCGTCCAGCTGCCTTTCCCATGGATGAAGTCTACCAAGGCTCACGCATGGAAAGGCCAGTGGGCAGGTAAGCCTGGCTTCCGGGGCCCCTTTGTCCCCCCCCCCCCGCCCCCGCACCCCCCTCCCTCAGCCCGGCTGCCGCTACCTCCAAGCGCTCCCCAGGACCCTCTCCCAGTTCGCGTTCCCAGTCCCCATGGATAACCCAGGGTCAGACTAAACTACACAGAGAGCCAATGTGGCCATCCTTCACAGAAGCTCTTTTCTGGTCCAATGTGGAGCGTCTTTTCCATTCAACTCTCTTCCTGGAAGGTTAAACCCCTTCCTTTCCTGTACACTGAACTCCAGGAGCCTGCGCGCTCCATGCAAGCCAAGGCCTGGCCGAGCTCAAAAGCTTTGGACCCTCAGGATCCTCCTCCAGCCGGGGGATCCGCCCGCCCAGGACTCCCAGGAGCGCGCGCTGAGGAAGCCGAGGAGGGCTTTGGGATCCTTCTGACCCCGACCAGAGCGTGCCTTCAGAGCCCCGGGCCCTCTCTCGCTCTGCAGCCCTCCAGGGCAGCTTCATTAGAGAAGGCAGACAGACTCAGGGGACCCCCCGGTAGATGGAGAAAAGCAGGGAAGGAAAAGTGCACCCAAGCCTGCAAAGCTGTTGGGCGGGGGAGGGGGGGGGTAGGGGCGGTCACCCCAAGGCCGAGGACAGGCCGCTCACCCTCGGAGCCAGGCAGCTGGGAGAGGCGTCTGCGATGCCAATTAATTTTTCAACAAACAAAAGCATTTGAAAGGGTCTCCCCGCGCTGCTTCCCAGCAAGTAAGTTTGAGGAAGGAGATGCCCTCTTTGCATAGCCGGCTCAGGGAGACGGGAGCCCTGGTTCCCCGTAGCCCTAGGCGCCGGCGTGGAACAGGTCTTCCCCAGAGGCGGAGATGCGGAGCAGTCCGCAGGTCCCTTCCCCGCCCCAAGCTGGCGGCGAGTTCCTGCGTGGCCTGCGCCACCTCTGCAAGACAATGTTATCGCTACCGCGCCTCAGCCACTTCTGGTCACACCTGCATTGCAAATACTAGTTTGACTTTTCTTTTTCTTCCAACTAACAGTCGGGAGTAGGGGAAAAGAGGTTCGAGCTGGCGCCCCCTCCCTTCCCTCTCCCTCCTCGGCGCCCTGTCTGCCGGGTCTAGCCGGCTTGCTTGACACTGACCACTGAGCAGCTATGCGGGCCTTTGCGGGGTCTGGGCTTGCCCAGGGTCCCTGGGGCTCGCCTCTCCCTAGTTCTCTTTCTCTCGAAGGCTGAATGTGAGGACTGGGCAGCTCTTGAGACAGGACAGGGCCCAAACTCGGCTGCAGTCTTCCCCCAACTCCAGCGAAACCCCGAACAAAGGGGGCGCCAGATACTTGAGGCGCCTCTGTGTACTTACCCAGCGCGCGCGGGCCCGGCCAAAGGCCTGGAGTCTTGGGAAGCGCGGGATTCTTGGGAACCGGGGAGAATGGCGTCCCTCGACTGGGAGTGGGGGACTTTCAGCCCGTAGTTTCCTGCCAGGAGCTGCGGTCCCTCCGAGGGGTCCCTTCCCGCAGCTCGCTGGGGACGCGCGTTTCCGACATTCCCGGCCCTGCTCGCAGCTTCCTCAGGAAAAAGGCGAGGGAGGCCCTGAAAGAGGTTTCCAGAGGCGTGGTAACTTCCCCATCTCCCCCACAGGGTGTGACCCCTGCTCGGGTGGAGCTTGGGCTTGGGTGGACCCAAGGAGCCAGAAAGTGAAATCCGAAGGAACATCAGCAGTCTTGCCCAGGAATGGAGGGTCCCTGGAAGGGTGACATCCTCGGGCTGGAGAGTCAGGGGCTGGAGAGGCCTTTGCCAGCGCCCTCTGAGCCCCTGTGCTCTCAGCCCGCAGGGAGGAGCCCACCCTCCCTCTCCTGGAAGCTGCCTTCGAGGTGGAGGTGCTGCCGCAGCCGGAGCGGTCCTCCCCGGAAACTTTCGGAAGAGCCGAACTTCAAGGGTTTGTGAACCCGTCTGCCGCTCCTCGTGGGGTTTCACGCCCCTGGGAAAACGCAGTGACCAAAGGCTTTCATTAGTAGTACGGATATGAATACTTATAATAGGGACTTTTGAAAACGACATAAAAAATGCACTGCATCAGCCTCGCTGGCTGACCAGGTCGCCCCTAAACGGCCTCACCCTACGCCTTAGGGAAGAGCGCAGACCTGGGGCCCTTGACATCTTCCCAGTAACACCAACAACAGCCTCCATCCCCTGCCAATTCGTCCTGGGCACAAGTCCCCTGGGGTAGTGGATCCCCCGCGCACCCTCTCGCAGCACCTTAGTGGGGCCCGCTGAAGAGGGACAGAACCCCGAGAAGTTGTGGGTTGAATTTAAGAACGTTGGACTGCCTTTATCAATGTTCCTTTAAGGCTCCCTCCTTCCCTCCCAGGCCAAGGAAGGCTTGGCAGTGGAAGACTCGGAGATGCCCCCAGCGAGCAGGACTCCTCCGCTGACTGGGGCCTAGCCTCTGCCTTGGCTTCTGGGCGCCTCCTTTCCGCGGGGGGAAGTGGGAGGCTCTATGTTGTAATTAACCCTCCCCCCAAACACATACACGCTAGCGTTTCAGCTCCCTAAGGCTTAGCCAGCGGTCACGAGGGAAACGCCGCATACTTCTGACCTAAGACAAGCCGACTTAGGCCTCTTCCCGGAGTTTTGGTGGAACTTACCGCGCCGTCGGTATTGCGCACAGACGCGAAAAGATCAGGACCTGGAGGGGCCAGCAGCACACACCAGATGTGCGTGCGGCGCTGACCTACCCGGCCAGGCCGGGGCCGTTGCTTTCTCTCGAAGGGGACTTGGAGCCAGGATCCCCCAGCCCTGAACCCCACCACTACTCCCGCCTCCGCGGGCTCTCAGCGCCCCAGCAGGGATCTGTCCCCACGCATACCCTCTCCGCCTCTGTCAGCATTTGGGGCCCAGGACATAGAGGGCAGGGCTGACAACGACCTTCCTGGGAGCCCAGAATCGTTTCCCTTCTCCTCGAGGGCAGGGGCCCGACAGAGGCTAAAATGACAATTATAGAGAATTTACCGGCTATTGAGGTGGGACTGATTACAATAATATAGCTACATAGACAGATAATATATGTTCAACTATAACACTCTATATCATAATCCCAGGGTTTTTACTAGCTCAAGGCTTTTCAAACTGAGGGTTGCACCCATTAGTCGGTCATGAAATCAATTTGTTGGGTTGATTTTTTTAAAAAACGAAACAGTAAACAATAGGAAAAATTAGATAGCATCCTATGTGGTAAAGGTTGGTATTATGTCTTGAAATTTTTTGTGTCAGTTATATATCAGCCTATGAACTGGGTAGTGATCTGAAATGTTTTTCTTACTGTGGATCATCGTCAGAAGGTTGTGGGTTTTTAAAGTAAGTCCTGTATTAATGGCATTGTAGAATTGAGTCAGTTTAAATATCTATTATGTGCATTTTAATCAGCACCAACCCAAACACGAGTTAAATGAACTCGTTGGAGAACCACTCATTTACAGAGGCCACTGCGGGCTCACGGAGAGATGTGGCGCAGCTTTGACTTCCACGAAAAGGCAGCCTGTATTAGAGAAGGGCTGGGTGCGCCCAGGTTGGGCTCTGGGCTAGGGGCTGGGACTCGGTGGCAGGAGCGGCTGGGAGGGCCGGGGCTCCTATGATTGGGACCGAAGCGTTGGGCTGCGTGGGTAGGAGCAGGACAGGAGGAGCCAGGGACTCGGGGACCACGCTCACGTGCTGTGTCGCCCGCAGGCGGTGCCTATGCTGCAGAGCCAGAGGAGAACAAGAGGACGCGCACCGCCTACACACGCGCGCAGCTGCTGGAGCTGGAGAAGGAGTTCCTATTCAACAAATACATCTCTCGGCCTCGCCGGGTAGAGCTGGCCGTCATGCTGAACTTGACTGAGAGACACATCAAGATCTGGTTCCAAAACCGCCGCATGAAGTGGAAAAAGGAGGAAGACAAGAAGCGCAGCTGCGGGACAGCCGCCGGGGGTGGTGGGGACGTGGAGCCGGAGCAAGACTGCGCGGTGACTTCAGGCGAGGAGCTGCTGGCACTGCCGCCACCACCGCCCCCCGGGGGTGCTGTGCCGCCTGCTGTCCCTGCCACAGCCCGAGAGGGCCGCCTGCCGCCTGGCCTTAGCACCTCGCCGCAGCCCTCGGGTGTCGCGCCCCGGCGGCCGCAGGAGCCCCGGTGAGAGATGGGCACTCCTCCCTGCCGGGCGGCTTCAACCACTCGCAGAGGAGAAGGGAGCGGGCCTGGCCCCGGGTGTGGACGACCGGCCCTGGCGGTTCAATGGGCGGGAGCTGCGGGGCCCACGGCAGACGGGAGGAGAGAACAGTGCTCTCAGGCGCCTGTGCCAACTGGGGCGCCGTGGTGAGACGGTGGCAGACCTTCTGGAAGGAGAAAAGACGCTTTCTGTAATATCTGGGGCCTCGTCTGGAGGTATTGTTGGATTGGCGACGTGCATCGCTGTTGTGCAGGTCCCATCAGTCCTTTAGAGAAGCCATCTCTTCAAAAGACCACAGAAACTGTACAAATCGGACCGCTCCCCAGCGCACGGCAGGCAAGCGGGATGGAGCGACCAGAAGCAGCCATTTTTATTCGGCCTTTCCCCTTAACGTTTAAAAATAATTGAGAGGAAACTTCTGAGGTTTCAAAGACCCAGTGAAATTGATGCCTGTGGAATAGAGTAGTTCCTCCTCCTCCTCTTCCTTTTAAAATCCCTTTAGCAAAGCCACGCCCTTCACCAGCGCGCATCCTTCTACCGGCACCTTTTCCTCTGCGGGGAGAACTTCTTGCGAGGGTGGGCGGGCAGCGGCTCGGCTGGAGTGTAAAGGCGGAGGGAGAGTCCCTGACCCGCTGGCCCAACGCTTCCAGAGAGGGCAGGCGAAATGGGTCTGGAGCGAGAACGATGGACCCCTGAGTGATCACAAAACTGAAGATATTTGGAGCGTTCTATTTAGGGTGTGGATTTAGTTCCTGGTCTCAGAACTGGGGGGAGCCGGGGGAGGGGGGTCGCTTTGTGGAAGGCAAGCGGGGTGGCCTGACCCACCTTGGAAATTATTCACAGAGCCGGTCTGATTTCCACATGTTTAGAAGTGATTTAAAAATATGTGGTTGGGGAATTTGGAAAACTGGTTACTTTTATTTAAAGATTTAAAATTACCTAACAATTCTTTACAAACAGGTCTGTAGTTTCCAGGTCAGTTCCTCCTTTCAGGATCTGGGCCTTGTGTTCAGGTGATGTCTGTGGAAAATGCTTAATAAATACGGATAACACGGAAAGAGATGAAAACAGATTCCCTTCGCTTTGTATCAAACCTTTCTTGTGATGCAATGATTCCATTTCATTTAAAAAGTTAAAGCCGCATTAATTTTCAATACTAACGAGGGAAAACAAGTAATTAAGAAACACTACGTTTGGGTTTGGGGTTGGAACTGCATATGAGCTGGTGGATTTTCGGTTTTGTTTCATTTTTAACTTGAATCACCTCTCATGATGAATTTCTTAGGCAAGATAGCCCAGCGGCATGGGGGGTTCAGAGCCCCGCTGGCTAGCGCTGAGTGGGCGCAGAGCCCAGGAGCAGCCCATCCAGCCGCACAGTGACCAGCCCGGAAGCCCGCAGCTGGCCAGGGCCATGAGCGGCTCTCTTTCCTCCCAAAGCCGCAGCTCGGGCCAGGCCTTTTTCTGAGGCTCTTTCAAAGGAAGTGTTGGTTTGGCTGTATCTCCGCCCCTGGAGCCAAGAGTGTCTTGTGTTAGGGGCAAACAGGCGTTGACAGTGGGCTTCCAACCTCTGGGGCCTCTCTGCTCCTCCCCATGTTGGATGAGCGTCTTAGCCCGGCTGTGAGCCTGAACACGCCTTCTGAGCGCTCCCACCGTTCTGGGCCATCAACTCCCAGGAGTCGCTATTATTTTCTTTTGCAAAGAGACTCAGGGCTTGTTTTTGTTTCTTGCTGGTTTTTGCTTCTGGTTTTTTTCGAGGGAAATCCAGTCATAAGGCTCCTACGAAGAAAAGAAGGTCCCATGGATCAGAAAGGGGAACTTTCTCATCAGTGAGCCGTCTCACAGGGAAGACGGTGCCCTTGCCCTGCAGCCTCTCCACACGCGCCCGGGCTCTGGAGTCTAGCAAATCTGCGTTGGAACCCCGGGCCCTCAAATACTGGCCCGTGACCCTGAGAGAATTATTCAGCTTCCCTGCGCCCCGGTTTCCTCATCTGTAAGGTGGAGGTGAATACTACCTCATAGAGTTGTGAAGTTTAAACCAAGTATGTGTAAAGGTCTTAATTCAGTATCTAGAAAATAGTTATCCCTCCACAAATATTAACTATTGTTTTATGCCATCATCATTTTCGGAAGCAACCAGGGAGCTGCTGCTGCAGATTCCCCGGGTCTCCTGCCGGCCCTAGCAGCCCCTCTGTCACTGTTGCTCTCACCCTTGTGCATATACCCGCTGACCCTCACTGCGCGCTCCCTGGTTTTACGACGCCTTTCCTCATAAACGCCTTTGACTTCCCATAGCCACCTTCGCCAGGTAAGTGAGACTCGCCTCCTCTGACCCAAGGGAAGCTGATGCTGAGCGGTGGAGGGAGGACGAGCTGGAGCTCAGCCGCCCAGTTGGTGGCGGCCCAACGACTTGTCATCAGAAGCCAAGGACATTTTCAGAGCTCCACACCCAGCCCGCCGCGCTCTCCGAGGCTCGCGTCCCAGTCTCGCCGGTGGCCTGGCCGAGGGTTCGCGAACCAAGGGAGACGAGGTGCGCGCCGCCCGGGCGCGGCTCAGGCAGCGGGGCGCGCGGGGGCTGACGGCGGCCAGGCGTGCGGCCTCCGACCGCCCAGGCCCGCCCGGGAGCGCTGAGCTTTGCTGAAAGCGCCACTCGGCGGCTCCCGGGACTCCGGGCCGAGCCCGAGCCGCCGGAGAAGCTCCGCGGAGGAGAGCTCGGCTTTCACGTGCTGCCGCCCAGGGCCTGAATTCCGCGTGGCCTTGAGCAAATCGCTTAATTCTCCGTTTCCTCTTGCATAAAATGAGCTCTTAACGAGGATGAAATGAGATGATGTCTTTGAAGAGTTTATTACCGGGCCTGGCGCGCAGTCGCCGCGAAACGCGGCGGGGGCGGCGGAGGTGAGGCGAGGTTGCCAGTAGGGGCCAGTCTTCCTGGGAGGCCCGGGGAGGTGCGGAGAGCGAAGCCCGGGCCTCGAAGACAGGAAGGAGGGAACGCGCTCCGCCGGGAGCGCCACTCGGGGCTCCAGCAGAGCGGCGGAAGCGGGGCGAAGGACTTTGTCCCGACCTCTTGGGCCGCAGGGTGTAGATCAGCCCCCATAGGGCGATGGCGTGGGGTTCACTCTGCGCTGCCACCCTCGGCCAACTGGCTAGTGGACGCGAACCGTGGGCCCGAGGGGCGGGGGCGCTCCGAGCTCCAAGCCCGAACCCACACACGGGGCTGTCTTCCAAGTAAGACGTCTTTCCATAGCCCAGAAAAAAACAGCCTTGGGAAGGGCCTCTTTCTGCCAATCCAGTCACCTTCTCCCGGCCCCAGGACTCCAGCAGTGACCCTGGTACCTGCCTCCCTAAGGACCGTCAGCCTCCCACTGCTCTTCAGGCTTGGCGCGCTCCTCTCAGGCAGTAAACAGACATCGGTGGCCTTCGAAAGCTCTCAGGACAGGTGGCCTTCGGCGCCGAGGAAGAGCAAGGCCCCTGCGAACGCCGTGCGTCCTTCCCCGCGCGGTGCGCTCCAGCATCCGGGGACAGCCAGGCTGTGCTCACCGCGCCAGGACGTCCAGGAGCGCGCCCGCCTGCACCTTCACGCCTCTCCGTTCCCCGAAGAGTCTCCGAGCTGGAGCCACAAGCCCCACCATTCCTCCCAGAGTCTTCGACCCGAGGTGAGGTATGTTCGTGGAGCGCCACTGGGAGGTGCGAACGATCCGGGCGCTGGTTGCAGGGCAAAAAGAGTGCTCCCCCAGGGCGCCGACTGCCGCAGCACGTCAAAGCTGCCGCTCCGGATGCGGGGAATTCGGCACGAGTCCCTCACCACACACACCCTCACACAGAAGCCACTGAAAGAATGGGAACCAGGGAACCAGGGAGAGCGCGCCGCTCTCCGGGCGGGGGCCCGAGCTGTGGGACTCCTGTGGATAGCGTCTCCTGTGGATAGCGTCGGACCACATAGTGCCAGAAACAGTGCACGGCAAACAAAAATCTTTTCTCCTGCGATATATTTCTTCCTGTAGGTTGGCTAACAGTTACTCAAAGTTCTCACCTTAAGAGCTAAATTCATATCATGTAATGACAATATGTAAAAGTTGGTGATGATTTCAGGTGCTGCCTGTCGCTTTAACAGCTTTGATATCTAATCCGCTTGCCCCTTTCGCTCAGGGACTGTGCCCGCGTGCCTTCCGCAGCGTTTACTGGGCTCACGCTCTGTGCCGGCACCTCTGGAGGTCGTACAGTGCTTTGCCCTGGAAGCACTCAGTTTGAAAAAGCCAGATCACCTCTTGGTGATGGTTACCACAGTCATGGAGACTGGATTGATTATTGGTGAATTTACCAGAGTAAGTAGAGGGCACTCAGGTTCCTCAAGTTCTCCTTTTGAGCAACAAAGGCTGTTCTGATTTCCCAAATTAGTTTTGTCCCCCTTAGTCTAGCACTGGAACCCTCTCCATATCCACTCCTTCAACTAATTCAGTTCAATGCATTTAAATTTGAATGAAATCTAAGTATTGCACTGTCCTTTCCAGTTGGTAAAATCTGCCTGTTCTTGTATTCCCATACCCCCATTCTCTCTCTCCCACCTTCTCTTTCTCTCTAGATCTGTGTGTCTATGCAAGAGTGATGTGTGTCTTGCGTTGAGTCTGTCTGTGTGTGTCTGGGTATGCCTGGGTGGCCCCATGTATGTTTGTATGCATGTGTTTGGTTGTGTCTCATGTGGGTTGCACTGGCGGCAATGATCAGCGTGTATCTAGGGACCAGGGACGCTTTCCTATATGCTCTTTTTTTCTAGCCAGGACAGCCATCTCCCAAGTGTAAGATGATGTTGCTGCTGATGAAAACTGTCCACTCAGGTAACTGTCTCAATTCTTTGTGTTGACACAATGTTTGAAGGCAGGAGAAGCTGTCTATGAGAACATCGCTTGAAACATTGGTAGAAGCTGATTGCTAAAGGATTGCATGATTGTATAAGGAATTAATCTTTTTTCTTTCTAAGAAGAAAGTTCACAACTAAAGTCTTTCATACTTCAATAGCATCACCTTGAAACCCTCCTGAAAATTAAGTAGTTAGAAGGGTCAGAAAAGGGAAATTCTGGATGGAGACTGAGTCAAATTTTACTCAAACACAACTCTGACAAGGTAGATGTAGGAGCAGTAAACCTAATGGGAAACTGAGGCAGGGCAGCAGGAAGCAGAAAGCCCTCCCTGGAAGGGAACCAGGAGTGATGCAGGAGTAGGCAGCCAGCCCACAGGGAGTTGCTACCTGTGCACAGTTGAGCAGCGGGAAAGCATCTTCAGGTGACTCTGGGTAGGAAGGGGATGTCGAGCTCTGCAAATAACGGCTGCCAATAGCTGTTTCAAGAGTGAAAGTGACTGGTGGATATGGGTCTTTTGGGCTAGATAATGAGAACCCGGCAATGCCAGGTTCCCATATTAAAGTATACAGTATTTATATATTATGAGAGAGAATGAGCACAATAAAATTCTACTCCTGTTTTTTTCATTAAAATTATTTTTCTTTATAAAGGAGATGCCATGGCTTTTGAAAGCACAGATAGCTCTGACCTTAAGCAATATTTTATAATTCAACAAGTTGGGTTGCATGGAGTCGTTCCCTAAACACAGAGCATGTGGGCGCCTTAACTGTATGCCGTATCATCAGAGTGCATTCAAGTTCTTGTCTGGGTTATAGAATACACTGCTCTTACTTCTGGTGATAATTACACGTATAAAAATTGCAACAATATTTTTGCTGTAATTTATCACTTGAATAAATTCTATGATTTTCCTGAATTTTCAATTAGTCTAATATACAAAGGATGAGAGTTTAAAAGATGATTTCTCCTACTTATACATGCTCTAAAAATTCAGAAGTTTCACATTTCTAGGTATGTCTGAAAATACTGCCAATTTAAAATTTAGGGCCGGCTCCGTGGCCGAGTGGTTAAGTTCGCATGCTCTGCTGCGGCGGCCCAGGGTTCGGATCCTGGGCGCGGACATGGCACCGCTCATCAGGCCATGTTGAGGCGGCGTCCCACATCCCACAACTAGAAGGACCTGCAACTAAGATATACAACTATGTAC